CACACACACACACACACACACACACACACACACACACACACACACAAACACACACGCACACATGGCCCCAGCCCACACCCCTGCCCTGGGCAAACGTGTTCAATGCGTTTAGCCGCATTCAACTCATTCAAAACAGGATCGAAAACGCACGTTCAGTGAACATGTGGCAACACAGTGATGGGTTGCTTAGGTGGGTGTTGGACATGTGGACTATTTATCGGTGCTAACTCATGGCCTTGTTGCCCATCCGCTTGTCTGATCTTTACGTGCTGCCTTCTTGCCTTGTTGGCAGTTGTTGCCCAACTACCCTGCTGCTGCCTTGTCATTTAGGCCATGCTGCTGTGTGGTTTTTCTTTCTTAAAGTTTGTGCCTTGTTGCCTCATTGTTGCCTTGCATTGCTGCCTTGTTGCCCACTTCTCACAGCTCGCACTGCTGCTTGCCTTGCCTTTGGGCTGCCTTGTCTTTCCTGATATTGCCTCTATGCCTTCCCCAAGTTCTTCTGTCACTGCCTTGCTGCCTTGTTACCCTCTGCTTGCCTGGTGTTTCCATGCTGCTGGCCTGTGGCCTGCTGGCCTGTAGTGGTTCGTTGCGCCTTTCTGCCGTGCTGCCTTTTCCTTTGTGCCTATTAACTGCCGTGCAGCCTGTTTGCCTTGCTTATCATTGTGGAACGCAGCTGCAGCTGAGCTGCTTGCCTTGATGTTTGGCTACCTTGTAGCCTCCCTTTTTGGTTGCCTCTGTCTTGCTTTGCTATCTCGCCGTGCTGTTAGTTGGTTTTCTGTTGCCCGATACTAGGGTCCCACTGCTGCTTTGTCTTGCCGTTTGGCTGCCTAAGCCTGCCTTGTTCAGTCTACTTGTTGCCTGGCTTGTCATGGCCTTGAAGTTCTTTTTTTTTTTTTTTTTTGTGAGGCGCTTGTGCAAGACCTCTATCCTGGTGGTGGTACGAGAACCACCGGGATTGAGGCTTTGCCTAGTGGCCACTCCATCTATTGGTGGGGAGCAACACCTGCTGGAAACGGGGATAGTCCCTTAAATACATCTTTGCAAAACAGTACATCAATGAGAGTGCCGCCAATGTGCTGTCCTTGAAGTTCTTGTCTTCTTGCCTGTCAACTTTTTCCCTGCAACTCAGAGTGCTGCCCTGTCTCTTGCCTTGTTCCTTAGCTGCCTTCAAGTTGTTGATTGATTGATTGTTGCCTCGCTTCCATGCCGCGGCCTCGTTTCCTGCTTCTGATAGTTTCACACTCAGTCTGCTGCTTGCCTTGTCTTTTGTCTGTCCATCAGCCTTCATGTGCCCTCCAGCCTATGTGCCTCTCTATTGCTTGTAATCCAGTGCCTTTTTGCCTTGCCCTGTACTGTCCCCTGCTGGCTGTTCACATACAATAGGGGTTGATGGAGATCATGAGTTGAAGCATCAGGACGGGGATTCAACAGATTGGCAAGGGTTCAGCCTTCTGATGAGTGTAAGTAGGAAGAAACAGTATGTTGCAATAGGGGTTGATGGAGATCATCAGTTGATGCATCAGTACGGGAAATTCAATTCTTTCCTTAATTTTCATTCTTTTCCCTATGTATCATGATGCAGTGTTATGTCTGGAGGTGTTGCTATGATGCTGTCTTGGGACTTCCAGTAATGCATCAACTCCAGACTCCAGTCATGTTTTCCATGCCCATGTGACTTTCTCAACTTCATGCGGGATGCTGCCAGTGCACTGCAGGTGGTGCACACAGTGTCACACACATTGTCTATTACTTCCCTTCTTGTTTCTGTAAAGTATTATGCCTGCATTGTCCACTTCATGCGTTTTCTGTGTTCACCACTTCCCCCACTGGCTGGAAATTGGCTTGCTGGTCCTTTTGGAGCATGTCTGGCGTGTGGGCACCGGCAGCCCGCGGCGGGTGGAGACCCGTAATATTGAGGCAGGACTGCACCTGAGAGGCCCGAATTGGTGTCCACTGGAGCAGGCCGGTAGAAAACGATGCTGGTGGTTCAAACTGTGGCCGGTGGTAGCCGGCCATTCCAGAGCTGCAAATTTTTTTGGGCGCTTAAAAAAACAGAAAAGTTTAAAAAACATAAAATTTCAAAGAACAAAAAAAAAGAACTGAAGAGAAAAGGAATTATGGACAGAAAAAAAAAGACAACTTCCATACGATATTTTTCTGACAGTGGCCCGTGGAGTATGTACTTCCTCCTCGAGCTTCGGGGAGAACGTACCTTCATGGTGGTCGACGGCCGTGCCTCTTGGCTGTAACAATGCACTGTTGAGAGGAGTCCTCTCTCTCTCTCTCTCTCTCTCTCTCTCTCTCTCTCTCTCTCTCTCTCTCTCTCTCTCTCTCTCTCCACCTGTGGCCCATACCATATCTGTTTCTCTTTATTTGCATCAGAAAACAGAGAAATTCAGCAAAGGGAGGACGCTCAGGACGGACCACATGTCCATCCCCACAGGCCCTCATGCAATTTTTTTTTTTTTCCCCTGAACAACCCACTCCTATTTATATTTTTGGAGGGAACTAGTCCCCCGCAAGCATGATGCAAGGATTGAAACAGATAATTTAAAACTCAGAATCGTTCCAAGGCCGCTGTGGGAGATAGGGAGAAGTACCCAGTCCTATCCAACTAGACTTCAAAAAGAAATGATTCTGCCTGCCATCTCAACTTCCTGGGTTCAATATACAAATCTTGATATTGGGTGAAGATGATACACTTCGAATTGCCACGCCCTTCCCGCAATTCGGCAAGATGATCCACGCGGATGCAGGAACGCGCTGGATCTGGAGGATAGAGCTGAAGCGGGATATAACTTTTTCCCCCCTTCCCCCTCTCCCCATTCCCCACCCTGCCTACCCCCTTTTTTCCCCATATGGAACCACATGAA